GTGTGTTTTGAACCCTCCTCATATATATATATATATATATATATATATATATATTATAAATCAATTTGCTTATTATACATTTATGTTATAATTAATACAATTATTTTAGTGGAAAAATATTTATATTCTAGGAAGAAAATTTTTGAACGTGCATTTGTCTAAAATAATTTGAAGTTAAGTCGGTCTCAGTCGGTAGCTAGAGTGGTCAAGCTTGATCTTCGCGTCGGCTCGGAGCAAGTAAATACATAAACACACAAGGTTGGTCCCCACTATTTATAGCGTTTTCTCGAGATGAACACCAACCGTCACACCCTCATGAACTGTTGGATCAACCTGATCCAACGATCCACAAACGACAACCCTTCACATCCCCCATCATTAGTGCCCAACGGTTACAAGCCCAACGGTTGTAACCCTTCATGTTCCCATAATTAATACTCAACGGTTACGAAACCAACAGTTACAACTCTTCACATTCTGACCCAACCGCCACAACTGAAGTGCCACGTCTACCCTTTGCGTCGTTTCACTCCTCAAGGCTGGGGGGCTTGTGTACTGGAAGGGTCCTATCGACCACGTGGACCGACACGTGATGTCCTATCGACCATCAACACAAGGGTCCCATCGGCCACGTGGACCGGCATGTGATGTCCTATCAAACATTGACACAGTTCTTGGCATGACCTTGGCTCGGTAGAGGGCCAAAAACTAGGGACAACCCAACCCTTTTTCTATCGGCTCGGCCAAAGGCCGAGAACGAAGAGGTTGTCCCGACCTCTTCCTATCGGCTCGGCTAGGGCCGATAGAGCCAGACAATAGTTAGGACGATGATCATGATTAACAAGGGGAAGCACGCGATTAAGGCATAATCAGCCGATTAGCACCGTATTACCTAATTTGGTAAGTTTCAGAAGAGGCCCACCACGTTCAGGGCCCATGACAAGTAGTATAAATAGGTCACATAAAACGAGGTACATCACTGTTCATTTATTACTCTCGAGAATTGTGCTTGTCCTGACTTGAGCGTCGGAGTGCCTTTTGCAGGTACCTCCCCCCTTTGAAGCATCCTCCCAGAGCTCTCGTTCGGCCCTCCAGTTACTAGAAGATTACGAGTGTGCTCTTAGAAAGGGTACATTTTGGCGCCCACCGTGGGGCCGAACCGAAAGCTTTGAGAAGACACTATGTTAGTACTATGGCAAAGACAAGGAAGACCAACACTGAAGACCATCAATCCGAAGAGGAACAACGATCTGATGAGGACCACGTCGAGGTGGTTGATAAGACGAACCTGTCGGAGATGGTACGATAGTTGAAGGAAGAGATGGTTGCCATGAAAAAATAGAGAGAGAGATGCGCGGGAAATGGCCGTGGAAGAGAATGCTACTCTGAAAAACCAAGACCCCACGTGGAAGCCCTCCGAGCCGACCCGAACGCATACCTAGGGGTTGTTCCACTTGCTCATACACTACACCTCTCTCCCTCATACATCTACCGTCGCCCCAGGAAATCACGCTTCGGCTGCCCAAATCCCTGCCCGATCGATCCACACCACACCAGTTAGAGGACATCGACACACATTCACACCAAACATCATGCAAACCTCCCTCCTCGACCACTGGAAATCCCTCCCATTGGAAAAGTACGATGGGACGACCGATCCCGACGAGCATGTAGACATTTTTCTCACTCAAGTCACTCTCAGCACAATCAATGACGCCACTTTATGCCGAATCTTCCCAACATCATTGAAAGGGTGAGCACTAAGCTGGTTCACACGACTCCCAGCCAACTCGATCGACTTGTTCAACACCTTGGCATCCCAATTCACTATCCAATTCGCCACGAGCCTGCCCCACTAGCTGACCTCTCTGGCCTTGGTAAGCATTCGGCAAGAGAAGAAGGAGTCTCTTCGGACATTCATGAGTCGATTCAACAAAGCGGCACTTGAAATCCGAGACTTGAACCCCGCTATGGCCCTCCACCACCTCACCACCGCCCTAAAATCAGGACCTTTTACCAACAGCATTTGCAAGAAACCACCGACTGATATGGATGATTTGCGCCGACGTGTCGACAAGTACATGCAAATGGATGAACTCGCCGAGTTTCGTAACCAGGCCAGGACAGAAGCAACAATCAAGGCCGAAAAGCCAGTCAAAGGCTCATACCGCAATCGCCCAAAAGACCTCATCCCCCGAGAAAAACCCTCTCGTGGTCCGAGGTACTCACACTACACACCATTAAACACTAGCCGAGCGACCATCCTAGAGCAAGCACTCGCGTTAGAAGTTTTGGCAGTCCCAAAGCGAGCCTCGACCCCTCCGCGCGCCGACACAACCAAATCATGTAAGTTCCATCGTAATCGGGGTCACTCGACTGAGGAATGTTTAGCCCTAAAAGATAAGATCGAGGATTTGATCAAACAAGGGCAGCTCCAGCGATTCGTCGATCGGCCTTCCTCGCCCCGCTACAGCGATCCTCAGCGCCGCCACGATCGGCCAGAGGGAGAAAGGTCCGAGAGGCATCCTTATAGGGAACGCAAACGATCCAGGGGCCGAAAGGAAGAAGAACAAACAACCCAGCCCCGAAGGGTCATAAACACCATTGCTGGCGGATTCGCAGGCGGAGGTTCCACCTCCTCTGCTCAAAAGAAACATTTTCGAGCTGTTCGAACCGTGCACAATGTTGACAAGGTCCAACGAAGATTACCAACCATTACCTTTACTGAAGCTGACTTTAAAGGTATCGACCCAGACCAGGATGATCCAATGGTAATCAGCGTCAAAATTCACAACTGCATCGTCCGAAAGATGCTAGTGGACCAAGGAGGCTCGGTCGACATTCTTTACTGGAACACTTTTAAACAGCTTGGCATTCCCAATGCCGAATTGGTGCCATACAACGAACCATTGGTTGGTGTCGTAACCGGGATCACGACGGGATGACGCTAACATTTTTATATTCAATGGAGCCGCCACCAATATTTTATTTCAAGGGAAAAACATTGGAAAACCCTTTAAAAGATAATCTTTAAAATTAAAGTTGGGTTCGGGAGTCGATTACGTGTAGGAAAGGTATTAGCACCCTACAACGCCCGTAAAAACAGTACCTTTAATTAATTGCGCAAAATTATATGAATTTATAAATATTTAATTTATCCCTAAAAAACGTATGTGAGATATATTTTCTTTAATCTAAGATGCCCCTTTTTTTTATTTTTATTAGAAAATTATAGGGATTTGGGTTAGCAAATGGCTAATCAATAAACCCTTCCAATAACATGAAAGATAGATTGCTATTCAATCCATGTTATTGACTTTATTTGTTGATACTAAAATATGCTTAAAGTGTAGGACAATGAATAAGTATTATATTAACTTTTATGATTTATATGATATTAAAGGGTAGAAGTGCTACTCAATTAATATCATTAACCATAAAAATAAATGTATATAAGAAAAATTATGTTTATATTTTTATTTAAAGAAATAGATTTTGCACAAGGATCCAAGTTAGCAAATGGCTAATCAATAAATCCCTCCAATAACGATAAAAATAGAAATGCTATTTAATTAACGTTATTGGTTGCAACAGATCTTTACTCTTTAGAAAGAAATTTCATACATGAGAGTTTAAGCTAGCAAATGACTAGTCATTAAACCCCAGGACCTAATAATGTTAAAGATAAAAATGTTATTCAATTAACATTATTATTGGTCGTATATTAAATATGTCATATATTAAATAATTTTTTAAATAATAATCTTAAAGGGAACAAATCGTATTCACTATGTACAAACAATGAGCAAAAATAAATGAACAAACAAACAAAAATAAAATAATAATAAATAATAAATAAATAAATAAATAAATAAATAAATAAATAAATAAATAAATAAAGAGAAGAAACGATACCAAATGAGTTGAATCTTTGAATATGATGATCAAGAAGGTGCTTTTTGGCTACCTTTCACACTACAGAGGTGTCTCACAGATTTTAAGAAATGCAAAAGAGAGGGGGAAGAAAGAGAAAAAAATTTCGAGCTCTGAAGAGTACTGGACGAAATTTTTCCCCGGGGCTGAAAACTGTGCCCAACGCGTCTATTTATAGATGTCAGACCTGACCAGAACGACCCATTCCGAAATCGGAACGGCCCGTTCTGGATCATACCGTCACAAGCAAAATGTGACTCTGGAACGGCCTGTTCTAAACACAAAACGGCCCGTTCTAAATTCGCAACGGCCCGTTCTGAAATTTGGAACGGCCCGTTCCAAATAAGAAATTTTAGGTCCTTTTTGTCACTTAGAACGGCCCGTTCCAATATTGGAACGGCCCGTTCCCATTTGGAACGGCCCGTTCCCATATTGGAACGGTCGTTCTAAATTAGGGTTGTTGTGTTTTTTCTAACATGGAACGGCCCGTTCCGAATTTGGAACGGCCCGCTTGTCGGCATGTTTCGGGAGCTCCTTCCCTTCATAGTAGATGTCTATTTCATCACTTTTGTGAGTCCGGATAAAATTGATTATTCACAGTTGCCCCTCTTTATTTATTTCTTATTAAATAATCTAAATAAGGTAATTTAGATCATTTATGATAAGAAAGAAATAAAGATGTGAATTAATTTTATCCAGCTATTGTTGATGAAGTAAGTTCTTGAAAGATTCAATGCTTTTGCTTGAAGCTAGTCAAATGCTAGAATGTTGTGTTGGAATCATCAAGTGCTAGTGCTGGATCATCCGAATGTTAATGTTGAATGCTTGTGCTTGATCAACCGAATGCCAATGTTTGATGGAGTGGTCGAATGCTTGTGCTGGATCGACTGAATGTTGGTGCGAATTCAATCAAATGCTGGTGCTGGATTGATTGAATGTTGATGGACTGAATGCTAATGCTGGAGTGGTCGAATGCTTGTGCTGTATCGACCGATTGTTGGTGCCAATTCAATCAAATGCTGGTGCTGGGTTGATTGAATGTTGATATTGGATCGACCAAATGCTTGTGCTGAATTGGTCGATGGATCGCGCCAGGTAAATACTGGGCTTATACAAAAGAAAAATATAACTTGTGCCAGGTAAGTACTGGACTTATACAAAAGAAAAATATAACTTGTGCCAGGACTTTAAAAGAAAAAATATAACTGGTGCCAAGCAGATACTGTGCTTAAACAGAAAGATATAACTGGTGCCAGGCAGATACTGGGCTTTAAAAAGAAAGATATAACTAGTGCCAGGCAGATACTGGGCTTTAAAAGAAAAAATATAACTGGTGCCAGGCAGATACTGTGCTTAAACAGAAAGATATAACTGGTGCCAGGCAGATACTGGGCTTTAAAAAGAAAGATATAACTGGTGCCAGGCAGATACTGGGCTTTAAAAGAAAAATATAACTGGCGCCAGGTAGATACTGGGCTTAAACAAAAGAAATTGTAACTTGTGCCAGAATACTGGGCTTTAATGAAAGAAATTGTAACTTGTGCCAGGTAAGTACTGGGCTTGTACAAAAGAAATTGTAACTTGTGCCAGGTAAGTACTGGGCTTATATAAAAAAAAATTGTAACTTGTGCCAGGTAAGTGTAGACCCCTAAAATTGTCCGGGTCAGAAATAAGA